CCGCCCCAAGCCAGCCCTGGAGAGGCAGGACAGCATGAGCTCCTCCAAGAGGGGCAGCGTTGTGGGGAGGAACCTCAACCGCTTCTCCTGCTTCGTCCGCTCGGGGGTGGAAGCCTTCATCCTGGGCGACGTGCCCCTGATGTCCAAGATCGCCGAGGTGTACTGCATCGAGATGGGCTCCAAAGGTCCCCAGTGGAGGGCGAACCCTCACCCCTTCATCTGCTCCGTGGAGGACCCGACCAAGCAAACCAAGTTCAAAGGCATCAAGAGCTACATCTCCTACAAGCTGACCCCCAGCAACATCAACTCGCCCGTCTACCGGCGCTACAAGCACTTTGACTGGCTCTACAACCGCCTCCTGCACAAGTTCACGGTCATCTCGGTGCCCCACTTGCCCGAGAAGCAGGCCACCGGGCGCTTCGAGGAGGACTTCATTGAGAAGCGCAAGCGGCGGCTGATCCTCTGGATGGAGCATATGACCAGCCACCCCGTCCTCTCCCAGTACGAGGGCTTCCAGCACTTCCTCTGCTGCCGCGATGAGAAGCAGTGGAAGCTGGGCAAACGCCGGGCGGAGAAGGATGAGATGGTGGGTGCCAGCTTCCTCCTCACCATCCAGATCCCTACAGAGCACCAGGACCTGCAGGACGTGGAGGACCGCGTGGACACCTTCAAGGCCTTCAGCAAGAAAATGGACGACAGCGTCCTGCAGTTGACCAACGTCGCCTCAGAGCTGGTGCGCAAGCACGTGGGGGGCTTCCGGAAGGAGTTCCAGAAGCTGGGCAATGCCTTCCAAGCCATCAGCCACTCCTTCCACATGGACCCTCCCTACAGCTCGGATGCCCTCAACAACGCCATCTCCCACACGGGCAAGACGTACGAGACCGTGGGGGAGATGTTTGCCGAGCAGCCCAAGAATGACCTGTTCCTCATGCTGGACACTCTCTCTTTGTACCAAGGGCTTCTCTCCAACTTCCCAGACATCATCCACCTCCAGAAAGGTAAGGGTGGCTTCTTCTCCCCTGGTGATGACCTCTCCTGGGTGAGAGGGAACAGCATGGAGACTGGGATGGGGATGCAATGACAAAACCCTGTGCTGTGCAGTGATGACGGTGGGGTATGAGGATAGGGGTGGGAATGAGGATGGGGACCATTGCCTGTGGCTCCTGGGGAGGCAGCATGGTCCCTGCTGGCACGGCTCCCCAGTCACCCCAGCCTGGGAGAGGCTGCTGGGGCTGTTGGGTCCAGGATCAGGGTCTGCCCCAAGTGATGCCATGGGCTCCATAACTGCTGCGGGCACTGCCTGAAGCGCTGGCCGGGGGGGTCAGCGCACGCATTGCTCCCCCCCAGCCA